ATGTCTCCGGGTGAGTCCAGCGCCTTGACGGAATTACTGCCACCGAACTGTTTGTATTTTAACGCCCCGCGGACATCAGGCCGGCGCGGTGGTGGATTATTAACAATATTCAAACCAACTTTTGACTGTAAACAACTGCCCATCCCAGTTTCCCGTGCCAGCTTTGAGCTGAGCGTCTTTGAACTCGGACATTCACCTGCGACGTTATTTGCACTCGTCTACCGCCCACCTCGGTCTAAGGATTTTATAAATGAGTTTTCTGATTTCTTGGCTGAAATCACACCAAAATATGAGCATATTTTCTTTATTGGGGACTTTAATTTGCACGTGTGCTGTCCTGAGAAGCCCTTGGTTAAGGACTTTTTAGATTTATTGGACTCATGTAATTTAACTCAGCATGTAAACGGTCCCACCCAAGAGCGTGGACATACACTGGACCTTGTTTTAACTCATGATAGGACTGTTAATAATCTTGTTATTGGTGATAATGTTTTTTCAGACCACATGCCAGTCCAGTTTGAGTTCACCCTCCCCCATCTAACTCCTAAGTCATGCAGTGCTGCACGTAGGACTCGGACCATTAACCATTTCACTGCAGCGCGTTTCACAGATGTTTATAACTATGAAATGATAATTCAGGCCCCAGTGTTTCTCACCACCACTGAGGAGCTGACATCCCAGTTCAACTCTGTCTGCTTAAAGACTCTGGATCATGTTGCGCCTGTTAAAACTAGAAAATCAAAACTCAGAGCAGAACCTTGGCTGAGTGAAGTCACCAAGGCCGTTAGGCAGCAATGTAAGAGGGCGGAACGAAAGTGGAGGAAAGACAGGCTGCAGGTCTCTTTTCAGATACTTAAAGAGAGTTGGCGCCGTTATCAGAAAGCAGTAAAAGCTGCTAAATCAAAATTCTTCTCTGATATAATTACCTCAAACTCTCGCAACCCACGTGTCCTCTTCTCCACCCTAAACTCTGTTCTCCACCTCACTGAACCATCACCTCTGGAAGCCTCGACTGAGCTGTGCGACAACTTCCTACATTTCTTTTTGGAAAAAATTGTGACCACCAGGGCTCTCATTTCCCCTCCAACTCATGACCCATCCATCCCACCTCAATCTGTAGCTCCTTTTGACCATTTTGAACCCATCACTCTATCTTCTCTAGAGCAGGTCATGTGCAGCTTGAAACCTTCTGGCTCCCCCTTTGATGTGGTCCCCCCTCGACTACTAAAGGAGGTGTTTCCAACTCTAGGTCCATCCATTCTTGCCATAGTAAACAGTAGTTTATCCACTGGTGTGGTGCCAAAATCCTTTAAACATGCTGCCGTCCAGCCTCTCCTGAAAAAAACAAACCTTGACCCCTCAGTTGTTTCCAATTACCGGCCTGTCTCCAAACTCCCATTTGTTTCTAAAGTACTAGAGAAAATAGTCGAGTCCCAGTTGAAGTGCTTTCTGGAGGATCACGCCATCTAAGAGCTTTTCCAATCTGGCTTTAAACCTGTCCACAGCACTGAAACTGCCCTGCTGAAGGTCTTTAATGACATCTTCAGATTCACAGATACCGGTGATTCTGTGCTGCTTGTCCTGTTGGACCTCACAGCCGCCTTTGACACCATTGACCATGAGATTCTCATTGCTAGGTTGGAGCAGTAGGTGGGCGTCACAGGATTAACCCTCAGTTGGTTCAGATCTTACCTCGCTGACAGATCCTTTTGTGTCTCCATCAAGGATTTTAGTTCTGCAGTGGCAGAGCTTAAATGGGGTGTTCCGCAGGGGTCCATCCTGGGTCCCCTCCTATTCTCTTTATACCTGCTGCCGCTTGGTGCTATTTTCCGGAAACACAACATGCCCTTCCACTTCTATGCCGATGACTGTCAAATTTACTTCCCCCTAAGACACAGTAGTACATGCTCAATTCAACCACTGCTCAACTGCCTGGCTGACATCAGGGACTGGATGGCTTTAAATTTCTTGAGTTTCAATGAAAAGAAGTCTGAAGTCATGTTGTTCCCTCCCAACGACACGATCACAAACCACTGTATCGACCTTTCCGCTCTAACCCTGTCAGAAAAACAAAGAGTCACTAATCTGGGCGTGATAATGGACCCTTCCCTGAAGCTTAACAATCATGTAAACATGATCATTAAATCATGCTTCTTCCAACTGAGGCGGCTGTCTAAACTGAAGCCCATATTGTCCAAAAAGAACCTGGAGACAGTAATACATGCATTCATTACATCTAGGCTTGATTACTGCAATTCGCTCCTGTTTGGTATCAGTCAGACCTCCATTGCACGACTACAACTGGTCCAGAATGCAGCAGCCCAATTTTTAACCAGTACAGGCAAAAGAGAGCACATTACACCAGTTTTGGCCTCACTGCACTGGTTACCGGTTCATTTTCGAATCCAGTTCAAAATACTCATGTATGTCTACAAAGCACTGAACAGTGTCACCCCCCCCCCCCCCCCCCATCTCTCTGATCTGCTACAACCGTATGTCCCACCACGCTCCCTGAGGTCAGCGGACCAGTTGCTCCTCACAGTTCCAGGAACTCGTCTTAAGCGCAGAGGTGACAGGGCCTTCTCTGTAGCCGGACCAAGACTCTGGAACGAGTTACCTCTGCTTGTCAGACAGGCCCCCTCCCTCTCGGTTTTCAAGTCCCGTTAAAAACTCACTACTATTCAGTAGCTTTCAACACCAGATGATCTGTGTTTTAATCCTGTATGCTCCACACTGGTTAGTCGTCATATTTATTATCTGCATCGTTTTTATGTCTATATTCTGATTTACCTCATTTTGTATTTTGCTTTGTGTGTTACCTGTTGTTTTGTCTGTACAGCACTTTGGTTGGCCTTGTAGCTATTGTAAGTGCTTTATAAATAAAGTGGTATGGTATGGTATGGTATGGTATGGTATGGTATGGTATGGTATGGTAAAATGACTTCTGCTTTGTTTTCTGTAAGATGAAGTTTAAACTCATAACTCATCTTTACTTTGATGTTGTTTCAATCTGCAATAAATCATTTTTTTTTAATCAATGGTTTTATTTTAATGGACACATTTCTGAACATTATCTGCAAATCATACATTTTAAAAGTGAATCCTGTAGACATCATGCATGTTTGAAGAGTTAACATTCCTTACATTGCTATGCTTATCACCTACAGTGGCGGCTGTGGCTGAGTGGTTAGAGCAGTTGTCCACCAATACAAGAGTTGGGGGTTCAATTCCACCAGCAGTCACATGTTGAAGGGCAAGACAATGAACCCCTCATTGCCTCTGATGTGTGTCCCATCGGGGTATGAATGTGATAAAGCTCTGATTATTCTTTGTAGAGATCTAGTAGAGTGCTGTATGAATGGGTAAATGAGGACACAGGTTGTTTGTTGTAAAGAGCTTTGAATATGTTGATAAGACAGAATGGCTCTATATAAGTACAGTCTATTTACAGCTTTTCATTTTAGAGTTTTACACCAAGATAGTTTTATGTTGTTGTTGCTATTTTGATTAAAAAAATGTTATATGCAATCTTATGCAATATTGCACAATGTTATGCTGTGACTGAGTTATACTGAAGCCACAGTATTTTAGTGTTTTTATTTTATTTTATTATTATTATTATTGGTTGTAGGCAGCACGGTGGCGCAACTGGTAGAGCTGCTGCCTCTCAGCGAGCAGGTCCTTGGTTCAAACCCCGGTCCAGGGGCCTTTCTGGGTGGAGTTTGCATGTTCTCTCCGTGCATGCGTGGGTTTTCTCCGGGTACTCCGGTTTCCTCCCACAGTCCAAAAACATGCATGTTAGGCTGATTGGTAACTCTAAATTGTCCCTAGGTGTGAGTGAGAGAGTGAATGGTTGTTTGTCTCGTTTGTCTCTATGTGGCCCTGTGATGGACTTGCGACCCGTCCAGGGTGTACCCCGCCCCTCGCACAGTGATTGCTGGACATGGGCACCAGCGACCCCCGTGACCCAAAATGGAATAAACGGGTAAAGAAAATGGATGGATGGATGGATTATTAGTTGTTGGCTGTGGTGGCCATAATGAATTGAGATGACATTACACTTGCAGATGTACATTCAATCATTTCTAAGAGTTTCATTAAACTCCATCTGGTTTATGAGATATTTAAATTGTAATAACAAATTGGGTTGAGTTGAGCTGTTAATGCAGAGAATGAGCATAATCTGTTAGCATTTGTGGAGCACATGGTGTCTATGACACTCAGCTACTACCACACCAAATATATCAGCTCAATATCTCTAAAACTGGCAGAGTTAATGCAATATGTGTGTGTGCGTGCGTGCGTGCTGCGCGTGTGTGTATGTGTGTGTTACCTTAGGTCATTTGCCTTTGACAGACATCTTGAATTGGATTGACTTCAAAAGTAAAACAGTTGTAGATATGCCTCTAATAATTCCTAAGAGCTGGTAAAATTCACTTAGTGGGACATGAGATATTTTGTTAACAGACAAAAAGAATAGGTCAAGTTTAAAGCAAAGGTTTTATGTCAACTTGTGAATCGGTGGAGAGCAATGAAAACAGGCCACGAGGAGCTCTCAGGAATGCTGCAGCAGAATATTATTGAGAAACCAAGTCAGGAGCATTTAAACTAAACAGAAATACTTTTTTATTACACTTTTACAAAATAATTAAATGTGGTTTCATTTATTGCCTTTTTAGACTTTTTCAGTAATTTTCTCCTCAACTTTGGGAACACGAAGAGATCCTTTAATAAAAAAGTGTCATGGCTCTTGCAGCTCCATCAGAGCCACTGCATGATGCGACCCTCCCTCACGTGCGGCTACTGACAGGGAGGAGCTCTTCCTGACACAGAGCCTCTGATGTTACTCTTCCTGTGAGTATCACCCCCCAACTAAAGACAAAGCAGAAAATACGCAGTGCGTCTTTGCGCAAAGTTTGTGTCCTTTATAAACCAAACGCAGATAAGTCCAAATAATTAATTTCATGCAAAAAAAAATGTATAGATTGCTCTGGATGTACCTTTAAAACCATGTCGGCCACGCGCGTGTAGCGATACCTCAGCATCATTCCTAAACCAATGGGGATGAGGGTGCTGCACAGGGTCAGGATAATGGCCCGGAAAGGCAGCAGGTTGACCACAGGCGTATTGATCCAGGCCCGACTGTAGATCCACAGGCAGAGCGGCATCAGAACCAGCGCCAGCAGCGTGGAGGATATGGTCATAATGATGCTGAGGAGATAAAAAAAAAAAAAGTGAATTTACGCAAAGTATTCAAAACTTATTCCGTGCGTAATTGTTTGGAAAAATACGCACAAAATTCCGTCTATGTGAAACACTTCTTTCAAGTTGGTGAGGTTTTGGACCTACCTGAGGTTCATCTCCCCGTGCACCAGCAGAGACATGATGTTGGACAGGTTTCCTCCGGGACAGCAGCCACAGAGGAGAACGGCTATCGCCGCCACATCATCCAGAGAGAAGGCTAAAGCCAAAAGAAAGGCCACCAGCGGCATAATGACAAACTGACACAGCAGAGCCAGCAGCACCCCGACTGGTCTGCGGATGTGTTCCCCCAGCTGGCTCACCTCCACCGTGCAGCCCAGCCCCAGCATGGTGAAGCACAGGACCAGTCCCACGAAGACATTGATGCCATGGCTGAGCGGAGAGTCCCAGAAGGCGGGCATCAGGTGAGGCGCGGCCATGAGCTCAAGTCCAGCCGCGGTCCGGGGCACGCTGTCTTCAGGGAACAGGGCACCAAGGATTAGTCTTAATCCATCCATCACTCCCTTCTCAGGGCTTTGATCCGAGGCGAGAAGAAAGTCCGTCAGGCTGGAATTCTCCATGGAGCAACAGGAGGACTGAGTATGTGCGTCTGTAGGTGCTTGTGCGTAAAATGAGTCCCCTAGTGGCGCGCGGTCACTAATGAGAAACTGCGGAGGATCCAGAGTCGGGGGAATGGGACGGTGCCTTGGCTGTGATGCCACAGGTCGGCTCCGCGCGCTCTGCAGCGCGGTCATGAACACCAGACTTGTGCCGCGCCGCGCGTCGTCTCCAAAGTGTCCGGCACTTCAGGACCGCGGTAAAGTTAGCTTTACGTTGGATATTCGAGCTCCGCGGCTTCAGCGGGGTGTTGCTCTCGTCAGTCCGCTTCAGGCTGTCTGATTTCGGTCAGCCGCGCTCAACCTGCCCCTACTCAGAGACGTAATGGTACGCTTAGGGACCGTCAACAAATGATCGAATGCAGTCACTCTTCAGAAACACAGCAGAAACAAAAAGCAATATATTTTACATGATTTGCCCCACTCACCCAAAACTTACACCAAACTACTCTCCAAGACCAGTCAGATGAGGCACACCTGTTTATTTTTTATTTTTTATGCATTTCATAATTTTACATAATTTAATATTTCATAAATCAGACTCTTTGCTCAATAGCGTCCATGTCTTTTGACCCACGCACACAAAACTTACACCAAACTACTCTCCAAGACCAGTCAGACGAGGCACACCTGTTTATTTTTCATTTTTATGCATTACATAATTTTACATAATTTAATATTTCATAAATCAGACATTTTGATCAATAGCTTCCATGTCTTTTGACCCACACACACAAAACTTACACCAAACTACTCTTTGTTTCTGAAGAGTGACTGCGTTCGATATTTTGTTGACGGTCCCTTAGCGAACCATGACGTCTCTGAGTAGGGGCAGGTTGAGCGCGGCTGACCGAAATCAGACAGCCTGAAGCGGATTGACGAGAGCAACACCCCGCTGAAGCCGCGGAGCTCGAATATCCAACGTAAAACTAACTTTACCGCGGTCACTTCAGGGCAGAGACACTTCTCATTCTACAAAATCACTTCCAGATCAAGGCGTGTTTTTACTCTCAAACATGAAATTGGGTTGTGGAGCCACTGAAAGTACAGCTGGGACGATGATGAGGATGAAGAGTCTGCATGAATGAAATGCTCAGGTTTTTATTTATGCAGGAAACATTAAAACTGCCCCCTGCCCGTTTTTCCTCTGTGATGCTGCAGCTGAGGCAGCAGTTTCATCTTAAAGCTTCATGTTGTTGATTTTTGTTTACTTCCATAAATTCATGATAAATGAAGTATTTTTTTTATCCACATTTGCAAACTCAAGCTGACGCCAAAGAAATGAAACTGCTGCAAATTCATTGAAGGTTCCTGGATGCTTGTTATTTTTAAATATTTGTCAATCAATCAATCCGACACCTTATATATACAGAACCAGCACTGTGCAGTAAAGAAGTTCATATTTTTGGTGAAAGAAGATGGAGACATGCGTGAAGCTCAGAAGAAGATAAACAGAAAATGGCCCTGAAATAATTTACTTCCATAGATGTTCCCAGAGTTCCTAGCCTGTGAAAAGTATGACACTTTTTTTTTCCCAAACAATTTTTTCAGGTCTGGAAAAGTCTGGAAAGAAGAAATAGTGTAGATAAACATGCTTTTAGATTTTATTTTCTGTTTTATTTTCTGCTGTTTTAAAATCTGAAGCTTTTTTTAAGTGCTTTTTAATTAAATATTAGATTGAGTTTAAATTTGACTATCAGAGTCATTCATAACACAAATGAATAATTAAGGTGTGATCTACATGATGTGAACCTGCTTTGCATTGTTTTAATATTTGGTCTAAAAGCCTAAGTCCCTTTTATTTTTCAGCCTCAGAATCAGAATAATCTTTATTATCATTGTACCGGAATACAGTGAAATTATGTTCGTACAGTTGTCCGAAAGATGAACGGAGTGCACGTTGCTGCTGCTGAGAAGCGCAGCCCCTATTCTTTATCAGAATATTTTTAGCTAGAAAAAGGGAAGAACCATTAGGATGGATCCAAAAAAGTTCAATCTGGTCCTCTGGACATAAAAAAAAAAACAAAAAAACAAACAAAGCAAAGAAATCTAGAAACGTTTCGTCTCTCATCCAAGAGACTTCCTCAGTCTGAGGTGCTGTATTCAGCTCAGTCTCTTAAATAGCACCTTCTTAGAGTGGATCAACCAGTTTGCTGCTGACAACCAAAACCAGCTGATCACATGGTCAAGAAGGACCATCAGCCTAACAATGGGTCATTAGCACCTGATGGCTGTTTACTATTCACAGGGGGCTGAGTGATACTAGCAATCACAGCATTGTAAGAGGGGGACAGTTGAACCCGGAGGCCTCCACCCCTGTTTAATGATGGACGATTTCTTTTCACAAAGATGGCCTCCTTTACTCCTCTCTCAAACCATCGTTCCTCTCTGTCCAGGATGTGAACATCTTCATCCTTGAAAGAGTGACCGCTGGCCTGGAGATGAGTGTAGACTGCAGAGTCCTGGCCTGATGATGTTGATCTTCTGTGCTGGGCCATCCTTTTGGCCAGTGGCTGTTTAGTTTCCCCAATGTAAGACTGATCACAGCCCTCCTGACACTGAACAGCATACACAACATTACTCTGTTTGTGCCGGGGGACTGGATCTTTGT